ATCTCTTCCTCGCACGCCTCTACCCAAACTTTCACCTCTCTTGCTTCTTTAAAATTCCATGGCTCCTCATTTACTACCATCAAAAGTCTCTCACACTCATCATCTAAGAGAAGGGCATAATCATTCAAATATGTTGGTCTCTTTCTCGGTCTCGTCGATCTTCTTAATTGTGGCGTTGTCTCTTGCGAACCTTCAACAAAACCATCTTCATCTGTTTCTTCTTCGACACTACTATCCCCGTCTTCCACCACATTGTCGACATTCTCGACATTCACTAAGTCCTCATTCATGTCTCGAGTGACGTGTGTGTTATCCTCAACTTCTCTTTGTATATTGTTTTCTCCAATGCCATTATTACCATACTTTCCCATGATGATCTCAAACGATCCAGAATTGGAGGTCAAGTCTTTATCCGAATGATTCCAGATCCACTTCTTACTCTCATCAAAGATAACATCTCGACTAACAACTATCTTCTTAGTTGCGGGATCAAACAGTCGATATGCCTTTGAACCAGGCTCAGTTCCTAGATGTACCAATGTCCCCGATCTGTCATCGAGTTTCTTTCTTCCAAAAGCTTCTGTTCTTGCATATACGACGCATCCAAATACTCTAAGATGACTGAGGTTAGGCTTCCTCCCCTTAAACAGCTCATATGGAGTTGTTTGAGTCAATGATCTTGTTCCAATCCTGTTGATTAGATAAGTAGCATGTCTCACAGCCTCCCCCCATAGATAATTTGGTATTCTCATGTGTATTAAAATACTCCTAGTCATCTCCAATAACGTTCGATTACGTCTCTCGACCACTCCATTTTGTTGAGGAGAGTAAGGTGCGGTCAAGTGCCTCTTGATGTCATACTTATCACAATAAGACTGAAAATCATGAGATAAAAATTCACCACCTCTATCAGTTCTAAACGTCTTGATTTTAGATCTTGTTTCTTGTTCAGCAAGGGACTTGAATTTCTTGAATTTTTCAAGTGCTTCACTCTTCTCTTTCAACAAAATCGTCCACATGTAACGAGAGTAGTCATTCTAGTATTCAAGGATGTGTTTAAGAACTCAAATATAAAGAACACCTTTCTTTATTAGCTTTAGAAAACTCTCTCAAAAACTAAAGCTCTCAATCTCTCAAACTCATACATTATGTCATGTCTCGACATGTATATTTATATGAAAGCAAACACTCCTAATCCTATTAGAAAACCACTTATTAGATAACACCAAAACCTAATAATCCTTATCTCTAATTAACCATATCTCGGTTTAGGATTAGGTAGTTTCCTCCTCAAGTCATCCTTTCAAGCTTAAACCGACATTCTCCCCCTTAAGCTTGAACTCTTTCTTCTCCAAGTCTTGAACTCCAATGAAATCTCTCATTTCTTTAAACTTGACTCTACCAAGAGCTTTGGTAAGTATATCCGCCTTTTGCTCCTCTCCCGGAACATGCTTCACTTCTATTTGCTCATTCTCCACACATTCCCTTATGAAGTGATACCTTCTATGTATATGCTTGCTACGACCATGAAACACCGGGTTCTTGGTAAGAGCTATTGCTGACATATTGTCAAGGAATATACAAACTTTCTCACATGGTTGGCCTGTGATCTCATTGAGCAAGTCTTGGAGCCAAATAGCTTGTTTTGCTGCCTCAGTCCCTGCCATGAACTCAGCCTCGCAAGACGACATTGCCACTGTTTGTTGTTTGTGTGTACTCCAAGAAATTGGAGCTCCTCCAAGATAGAATATGTACCCGGCTGTACTTCTACCATCATCCGTGTTGATATTATGGCTTGCATCACTAAAGCCTACAAGCTTTGGTACTTTAGGAGCAGACTTCTCAAACAACAAGCCAAACGAAGTGGTTCCCTTCACATAACGAAGACATTGTTTGATCGCACCACCGTGTGATTCCTTTGGATCTTGCATATATCGGCTCAGTACTCCTACGCAATAGGACAAATCCGGTCTTGTGTGTAACAAATACCGAAGACAACCAACAGTTTTTTGATACTTTGTAGCATCAATTCCTTCTTCGCCGTGTGATTTTGCTAGTTTTAGACCCACTTCCATTGGAGTATGAGCTAGATTACAATCTCTCATCCCAGCATCTTCAAGTATCTTTAGTGCATATCGTTTCTGGTTTAACATTATTCTGCCATCAAGTTGACTCACTTCAATTCCGAGGTAATAGGTCAATCTTCCAAGATCACTCATCTCAAACCTCAAAGACATTTCTTTCTTGAATGATTCTATGACTTCTTTATTTGTCCCAGTGACAAATAGATCATCAACATAAATCGATATAAGAAGTAAGTCTTCACTTGTCATCTTTCGATACACCGATGGTTCCTTAGAGCATTTTTCAAACTTGAGTTCCTTGAGTACTTGATTTAGCTTTTCATTCCAGGCTCTCGGTGCTTGTCTCAATCCGTACAACGCCTTCTTGAGTTTGTAAACTTTGTTTTTACAATCACTTTCCTCAAAGCCTTCTGGTTGTGTGACGTAAACTGTTTTCTTTAACTCGCCGTGAAGAAAAGCCGTTTTGACGTCGAGATGATGTATCTCCCATCCACTTATAGCAGCAAGGTTAATAAGCAAACGAATGGTTTCAAGTCGGGCAACTGGTGAAAAGACTTCGTCAAAGTCGATTCCATGTTGTTGTACGTATCCCTTTGCCACAAGCATGGCCTTGTGTTTATTAATGCTCCCGTCGGAATTACGTTTCAGTTTAAAGACCCACTTGAGACCAATCGGCTTCACACCACTTGGAAGATCTACGAGATCCCAACACTGTTTCTTAATGATCGAATGAATTTCATCCTCACAAGCAAGTATCCAAGCTTTCGATTCCTTAGCTTCAGCAAAATCTCGGGGTTCATCGTTTAATGTAAACAGGAGTCTCTCCCCTTCTTCTTCTGCGATCAAGACATAGTCGTTAAGATACTTAGGTTTGTGAGTCTCCCTTTGCGATCTTCTCAACACTAGTGGCTGTTGTTCTTCATTGTTCTCTATATCATGCTCAGCCGAACTTTCAGATTCTGTTTCATCAAGCTCTCCACTATCCTCGTTGTCTTCTTCTACGGTTTCATTATTTTGCTCTGTTTCCCCTGTTTCTTGGATCCCATGATTCCCATATTCTCCAAAAGCAATAACAAAGCTGTCATTAACACCTCTTGCGGAATTTGTACTCCAATTCCATCCTTTTGTTTCATCGAACACAACGTCCCGACTCACTATTATTTTCTTGCTTTGTGGCTCTAGTACTCGATATGCCTTTGAACCTGGTTCAGTACCGAGATGAACCAACATTCTTGATCGATCATCAAGCTTCTGTAGATGTGGCTTCTCGACTTTGGCATACCCAATACATCCGAAGATACGTAGGTGATCAATGTTTGGCTTCTTGTCTCGATACATCTCATAAGGTGTTTTATCCTTACCAGCTCTTGTAGAGATCCGGTTCAACAGGTATGTGGAGTGTCTTATGGCTTCACCCCATAGGTAATTTGGCATGTGCATATGCTTCATAATGCTCCTCGTCATCTCCATCATTGTTCTGTTTCTTCTCTCGACCAGACCATTTTGTTGTGGAGTGTAAGGAGCAGTGAGGTGTCGTTTTATTCCATTCTCTTCGCAGTATGTGTTAAACTCATGTGACACAAACTCTCCACCTCTATCTGTCCTTAAGACTTGTATATGTTCTCTTGATTCTTGTTCCACCTTGATTTTAAACCTTTTAAACTTGTTGAATGCTTCTCCTTTTTCTTTCAACAAAGCTGTCCACATGTATCGAGAGTAGTCGTCAATAAGAACAAAGATATACCGGTTTCCTACCATCGTGCTTGGTGTTATTGGTTCGCAAAGATCGCCGTGAATGAGCTCAAGTTTCTTTGAGGCACGATACGATGTAGCTTGCGGAAACACTTGTCTGGTTTGCTTCCCAAGTAAACATGAGCCACAAACTTCCTTCTCAATGGTGACTCGAGGGATTCCATCAACAAGCTCCTTTTGTATCATGTTCCGTATTGACTCTAGATTGACATGAACAAGAAGTGCGTGCCATCTGCTTGAATCGGTGATTGTTGTTAGGAGCAAACGTGTTGTGTCTTTGATCCCCATTCGTACCTTGTATAGACGATTTCTTGATCTACACGCTTTGACAAGTAACTTTCCTTCGTGATCATGCATCGTGAGGTATTCTCCTTTCATTCGTATATCGCAGCCCGTTTTCGTTGCTTGACCAAGACTGATAATATTACGTTTTAGATCTGGAATGAAGTAAACATTTTTCATCACCCTTTGGTCTCCATTCCTATCAATGAAAGAGATCGAGCCTTTTCCTTTGATGTCGATTCTCGAGTCATCCCCAAAACGTACTTTTCCGGTGATGGAATCATCAATCGTAGTAAAATACCTTCGGTCGCCTGTCATGTGGTTACTAGCTCCATTGTCTAGATACCAAATGTTCTCCTCACCGGTGTTTGTCTCGTACTTGCTTAGTATGCAATTCTTCTCATTCAAGTAGACAACCTCATGCATTAAGAGTTCATCGGCATCTTGGGTATCTTTGTTGTCTTCTTGGGTTTCTTGTAGCTTAAGTAACCTATCCGGGCAGCTTGATGCATAGTGACCTAACTTGTCGCAATGGAAACATGTGACTTTGGATAAGTCTCTTGGTTCGTAGGATCGTCCACGACCTCTGCCTATTCTTCCTCCACGTCCTCTGCCTCTATACTCTCCATTGTAGTCCCGACTGTTTGTCACAGAAGAATCCGAATTTGCATACATGAGCTTGCTTTGGTCTTCCTGAGACTCGTCCTCATCATCACCGACGCGTTCTTCAAAAGCTTTTAGACGACCTATGATCTCTTCAAAACTCGTAGTCTTAAGGTCCAAATATTGTTCAAGGGATGCGATCATATGTATATACTTCTTGCGAGGAAGGCATTTAAGAAACTTTTTGACCAGTTTAGGTTCTTCGATGTTTTCTCCTAATTAGGCCGATTTAGAAGCTATCTCGGATATCATCCCCACGAAGTCATCGATAGTCTCAGAGTCCTTCATCTTAAGGCGGTCAAAGTCGGTCATTAGGGTTTGAAGTCGAGCCTCCTTGACCCGTTCTACACCCATGTAACGCGTTTTGATTGCCTCCCAGACTTTCTTTGCTGTATCAAGTGTCCCTACTTGTAGAACAAGTGTCTCCGGTATCGATTGAACCAATAACGCTGTCGCCATGTTATTTTTCTCAACGTCCGTCGTCTCTTCTTCGATGGTCTCCCAAACCTTGTGAACCTTCAAGCAAAGCGTCATCCGGATTGCCCATACTGTGTAATTGGTAGATGTTAACATAGGACATTGGATGGAAGATGGTCCTTCTTTTGGTTTAGCCGTTGCTGGTACAAGATCACCCATGGTGTAGATCAAGAGAAATTGTGATTTTTATCTTGATTTTAACACCTTAAGCTCTGATACCAATTCTAGTATTCAAGGATGTGTTTAAGAACTCAAATATAAAGAACACCTTTCTTTATTAGCTTTAGAAAACTCTCTCAAAAACTAAAGCTCTCAATCTCTCAAACTCATACATTATGTCATGTCTCGACATGTATATTTATATGAAAGCAAACACTCCTAATCCTATTAGAAACTCACTTATTAGATAACACCAAAACCTAATAATCCTTATCTCTAATTAACCATATCTCGGTTTAGGATTAGGTAGCTTCCTCCTCAAGTCATCCTTTCAAGCTTAAACCAACAGTCATCAATGAGGACAAATACGTACCTCTTGTGAGCTGGTGTAGAAGGTGTGATCGGTCCACAAAGATCTCCATGAACTAGGTCAAGAATGTGTGCAGCTCTATACGCGGTTGCTTGTGGAAACGATTGCCTTGTCTGTTTTCCAAGTAGACATGACACACATGTCTCTTTCTCAATTGTGATGCTTGGTATGCCAGTCACTAAATTCTTGTTGATCATCACTCTCATTGTGTCCAAATTTACATGGCCTAGGCGTGCATGCCATGTGCTTGACTCCGTTGATGTCATCAGTTGTAAACACTCAATGCTTTCAACTTCCAAAATGACCTTGTATAACTGATTTCTTGACCTGGATGTTTGCACCAGCAGTTGTCCAATTCGATCATAGAGCATGAGAAATTCTCCCTTCATACATACTTCACACCCTACTTCGGTGGCCTGTCCAAGACTTATAATATTGCTCCGTAAATCCGGTATGTAGTAAACGTTGTGTAGAGTCTTGAAAACCTTCTTTCCACCATCTTGAAACACAAAACGAATAGAACCTTTGCCTCTTATGTCAACACGCGAGTCATCCCCAAATCGTACCTTGCCCGTAATCTTTTCATCAAGTTGATAAAAGAACACACGATGCCCACTCATGTGATTGCTTGCTCTATTATCAAGATACCATACATTTGATGTGTCGATGTTAGTCTCAAAACTGTTTGGTTGCACCTTCTTCTCGTTGAGATAAACAACTTCATGCATCTTCAAATCATCCGCTTCATGTGTGTCTTCCTCCTTCTTCTCATTTTCAATGGTTTCTTGGAGTTTAAGTAAACGATCAGGGCAATCAGATGCATAATGACCCAACTTGTCGCATCGATAACATGTGATATGGGCTGTACTTTCTTTATCACGTCCTTGTCGAGAAGAGCCGTTTTGGTAGCCACCAAAACGTCCGCGACCTCGTCCTCTCCAAGTGGAACGTCCACCTCGGCCTCTTCCTCTGTTCCCATTGTAGCTTCCTTGCGAGTCAGTATTAGCATACATAAGTTTACTCGGATCTTCTTGTTGTTCTTCGATTTCTTCTTCATACGCCTTTAATCTCCCCACAATATCCTCAAAACTCGTTTGCTTTAAATCAAGAACTTGTTCTAGGGCTGCCACGATATGAATGTACTTCTTCCGAGGTAAGCTTTTCAAAAATTTCTTGACAAGTTTCGATTCATCAATGGTTTCTCCAAGAGATGCAGATTTGGAAGAAAGTTCAGAGACGCATCTATTGTATCAGTATCCTTTATCTTAAGTCTATCAAAATCTGCCATGAGAGTTTGTAGGCGAGCTTCCTTTACCCGATCAGCACCAACATGCCTCGCCTTTATAGCATCCCAAATCTCTTTAGATGTTGTAAGGTCTTCAACTTGAAGAATCAACGCCTCTGGTATCGATTGGAACAATAAAGCTACAGCCATGTTGTTTTTATCTTCACTTTTAACGCCATCTTCTATAGTATCCCACACTTTATTCACCTTGAGAGTAAGTTTCATGCGCATAGACCAGACGGTGTAGTTAGATGAATTGAGCATCGGACACTTAATAGAGGAAGGACCAGTCTCCTTGGATTTTGACTCGACATCTTCTTCCTTTGGATCCAACATGTCGCTCTGATACCAAATATAGATTCAAGAACAAGAACACAAAAGTATATGAAGAATAACTCTCTTTATTTGCTCAAGGAAAAATAACTCAAAAACCTTAAGCTTCTCAATCTCTTAAACTCTCTCAAGTTATGCCACACATTAGCATCTCCTTGTATAGAGCTTTAACAAAAAAAACCTAATACAAATAACCTAAACCATAACTCGGTTTATACCCTAAACCATAACTCGGTTTAAACGGGCTTTGCTTGGGCCTCAAGCCTTCTTCTTCAAGCTTACTCCAACATCCTTTCCGAATGAGTTGCAAATTAATAGAGAAGGGCGAAAGCAGATTGTAAGTTCCTTTGATACGACTAATAACTAGCTATAAAAACGTTTATGTTATACTTAGTGTTATGTGACTTTATATAAAATCAATTATAAAAGGTTTATAAGCCATATATATGATATACTAGATAAGGGTCCGCGTAAAAGCGTGAGTTAATATTTATTTTTTCATGTATGAACTAAAAAATATTGCATGTGTTAAAATTTGGAAAATCATAAAATGAGAAAAAATTTCATCAATATTAATTAAATATCTTTTCTAATATAGATTAGGACCCGTCTAATGGACGGGTAATTTATTTTCAAAATAAAATTAGAATTAAAATTTTACTGTAAGAATGTTATATCCAAAGTATTAAAAAAAAAGAAGATAATTTTTGAAGTTAGTAAAAAAATTTTGTTGAACAAATTTATTTATGTATCATACATATTTAACAATCGTTATTAAACATTCATTATAAAAATTTAGTAATGTTAAATTATCGATCACCAAAAGAATTGGGAGATATTCACCATTTTCGTAATATTACTATTACCAATTTTTTAAGAAAACTTAATTTAGATATTATACCCTAAACATGATTATACCATTATCCTAAAAAATATTATTTCCTAACTTCCAGGTTTTTAAAAAACTATTCTCGGATATGTTTTTTATTATTACAAAATTTGATGGTAAATTTCTTACAAATAACATCAATCCAAAAAAATAAGTTATAGTGTCGTTGAGATAAGCATTAAGTTTTTTTTTTTATAATATAAAAGTATATAAAAATACATATTTAAAAAGATATTTTAGAAATTATTATACTACGAATTATAGTGACTTTTATTATCCATATTTTAAGTTAATAATGTCTCTTTTTATTTCCATTTTATTCACCCCTTTTATGTTAGCCAATGAGATTGCACTATGACATATTACATTTAAATATAAATGAAAAATTAAACAATTATAACATATATATAAAAGTAAAAAAATTTAATAAACACATTTATTTTGGTAAACCCATAATCTCGTTTAACTGTACCATCTAAATCTTAATTCTCTTTTATAAATTAAAACAGATAAATAACATTGTATAAATTGTGTAATCTAAACTCTACTCCTTATTTATAAACCTAAATCGACATAAAACCTTGTTTAATTGTAAAATCTAAACCACAATCCTCATTTATCTTTATTTGTTAATTTTTTTATTCCTTAAACATAATTTGTATTAATAATGTTATTTTATAATTACTATCTTTTTCCTTTAGGATCACTACTACGTAATTGTTTCCTTTATGATTACTACTAAGTAATTGTTAAATTTCTTGAATTTTTATTTTCTTATTTCTATTTTGAAAATATTCTCTTTTTGAAAACTAATTTATATTATATTTTATCACTAATTATCTACGTGTCAACATCTTATCAATTTAATTAATACCTGTCACGATCTTGTTAATGACTAACTTTGAAAACTCAACTTTTTAGTAAATTGAAACCATCTTTTAAATTTGTGATATTTTGTTAATTGATCAAAAACGAAAAGATAAATTAAATGTGTGCATGCATGGAGATAAGTGTATGCAGGGAATGTGGAGAACATGCTCTGTACATTTTCTTCATATGCTTGCTTCACTGTCTCCTTACCCTTCCACTTCTCCCATGTGCACTCACATGCCCATGAATGATCTTATCTTCTTTACTAAACCAGATTTCCGGTTTATTTATTACAAGTTTCTTGATTGTCCAATGAGGTTTTAGCCTTTAGGTGAACCCATAACAGTTTCACATGCACAAACCTAATCTACGGACACCACACACATCCTTCGATGCACCGTACCTTGTCCAGCTAGCTATGATCACTTCCATTACATCCCAACTCTTTCTCTTAAGTTTTACCAATATAACCTTCCACCGCTCTTCACCAAAACGCATTACTTCAATTTCACCGCTCTTCACCAAAACGCATTACTTCAATTTGGCTGGAGATTGAAGGTTAATGGTGGCAGCGGCTAAAGCGGATAAAACCATTAACAGATTAGACCGCATTTTTTATTCACAATTCATTAATCATGGTTTGTAGTGGTGTAGACCAATCACATACCGATTTTACATATAAATAGAGTTGATTTGCAATGGTTTAATATCAACCCTAAAAATAAAACGAACTAAACCGCTAATGGTAACCATTCGAACCCGAAGTTTTTTTTTTATTCAACGTAAATAATTATTGGAATATACTATAGGGTTGTCACAAACTATTTGTATTTATGCAATTTTCTTGTTATTTTTTTTTTTGAATTTTCAATTTTCTTGTTATTGATACATTTTATGTGCTAAAATTTAAAAGAGACAATCTTTATTAACTTTGTTGAGTTGATTTAGGGATAAGCAGTATATGTACCTTTTTTGCCAATACGATTTTGTTTTTAAGTGTACATGGTGATGAAAAGTTGATTAATTATTTTCAGTTTCCAGTTAATCATAAAACTAATTAAAATTTAACTCAAATCCAATATTATAGTGTAAATCAGATTTAAAATAAATAAATAAACCGCTATTTTTTATATATGTTCAACTTGAATCAAGTGTATCTTAATAAATGAAAAAAAAAATCAAATTGATGACAAAAAGAAAAATCAAATTTATTAACCAGTGAGATATATATAAGAGAATTTTCATAAATATGACTAAAATAATTATTTATTTCCAATAATATCGTTATTAGTTTGATTAAAAAAATACAATTAAAATACATTTTCTCAAAAACACTAAGAACTAAACTAATCTTTTAACACTCAAAACTAAACTCTAAATTTTAAACATTAAACTCTTCTCGTAAAAACTATACCCTAAATAATAAAATATTTAAGATTAGTTTATGATTTGGTATAAAAATGATCCGAGCAAAAAAAACTTGGCATGTGCACGTAACAGAAGGCCCCGGGGGCTTAGCTTAGCTTTTACTGTCGAGTTTAGCAAATGCATGCACTCCTCTCGCACTTCTCTCTTTTCTACTTTGTCCAAATTATTGCTACTTCCCCACATGTCCCTCCAATCCGTACTACACAGTAGCCTACACTACACTACGCCACCACTGCACATGCATTCGAAACCATCTAATTTTAAGGAAAATCCACAGTATTGTTTAAAAATAATGAAAAACAAACTGGAAAGACATCATAATTTTATGTTTTTGGTAGCAAACAAAATTTTTAAGTTTACATATGGACAGTTTTTGGGTGTGAATGATTATTGTGGTCAAGATTGAAAAGTACGTCAAAGGTTTAGTTTACTTTATATAATATAAGCACATACAACAAACCGCTGCAAACTAACTCTATTTATACAAAAGCGGTCCGCGATTGATCCATATCGGTTTTATTTGGGTGTGAATGATTATAGCTGTCGGAATGGATAAATTTGTCGATGATTTAGAATTCTATTTTTAGGGCGGAACCAACAGCGGTAATTCAACTCTATTTGTACATAAAAACGGTTTGCACTTGATCCACAACGATTTTCTTTTGTTTTCTTTGAGACCGTACTACAACAGACAAAATTAGTGAATGGTAAATAAAAAGAGGTACGGTCCATGGTTTTGTCTGCTCAAACTGTAAAAACCATTCACACCTCCTTTTTTGGTTGAATCCGCATCAATATGCATATAATTTGTGTAAATATAAAATAGTCTAATTCAAAGACGGATTTCTTCACTTTAACCGCTAAACCATTCGGACCCTTTATAAACTGTAAATTGTAATCCAAAGTGTTGTTTAAGAATATTCTAATTAAACGCTCACGTACATGTTTAGACATACATATTAGACACTTTTATCCAATGACTTAGTATATTTTACTTTCAACAAAGATTTTTTACTTTCATAATCAAGAAAAGAAAGAAAAAAAAAGCCAACTCATCCTTCTAATATTGCATGATGTAACATATTTGCCAAATAAGCCTACGACACAACAACAGTATGGTGTCATTTCAAATTACGTATACACCCCCAAGTTGAAAAAGGCAAATAGCAACAAGTAAGGCCATGCCTTGGCAATGTCACTTTTGTAATCATTATATAACATAACATGGATCATCATCATCATACTTTAAAACCTCCTAACACCGTTCTCTTTCTTTCTCACCTTCATCATCATCATCTCTCTTTCTTCTATCTCTTGTGAGGAGATGAGAACTTTAAAGACTCAAAACACAAGTGGAAGAACAAGAAGAAGCTGCGACAAGCTCAAAAGTACTAGAAGAGCACATGTGTTAGGTAGAAGTGATGGAGAGAAGAAGGTAATGGAGAAGCTACAAGCGTTGAAGAGTCTTCTTCCTCCAATGATACAACAGAGCAAGTCCTCATCGGATGATGTTGGCACGGAAGAGCTGTTTCAAGACACGGCGGATTATATTGTCCGGCTTAGAACACAAGTTGTTGTATTAAAGAAACTGATTGAGATTTGTGACAACTCTTCTGACCAGAGTAAAGAAGTTGTATTATAATGTTCATTTTTCATATTTTTTCATCTAATTATGTCAACTTTTTAATTCTTTCTTTTGCTATGATTATATTATTTTCTTGATTACGAAAGTATTTTCGGATTAACCATTTCTTGATTACCAAAAACCATTTAACACATTCAACCTTTTTTTCTTTCTTAAATCAAAGATGTTTTTGGTTAATTTTCTTGCTTTTCTATATATTGATGGTGAAAGTGTGAAATAACGACAATCTCACATGATAAGTTTTGTGAATGACCCTATAAATAATATGTTGGAATCTCAAGTCTAAGTCAACTTTCCTTTAGTATGATATTGTCCATTTTGAGCTCATAATTCAAGTCTTTGCACGGATTTGTTATTGGGCTCCTTTGTAAAAGGGTTCATACTAATTGGAATTGGACTTGACTTATATATTAGAAACTTCTTTTTCTAATTTTCCAATGTGCGATATTGGTTTTGTATGCGATATTGGTTTGTATTCGATGACTGAATGAGTCACAATCAAATAGGGTTGTCACAGTTTTGTTATGATTTTTCAAACAAGAAGTGTTATGTGTTTAGAAGAAAAACGTAGAAAAAGATCTCTAGAAACCAACTAAAATCACCAAAATGCATATCTTCAAGATGAGAGACCATAGAGATCATATAGATCTGTTTCTTAATACGTTTTAATAGTGATGATCTCTCTCTCTTTCTCTCTATACATTTTCTCATTCGACACACCAATCTCTACTAACATGAAACAGCTTATGAAGAACCTAAACTCGAGCATAGGCTTCTTTGTTCTGTAAGTTTTTCAGAATCCCAAGAAGTTATGATGATACCTCTTAACATCTTGATAATGATTGCTTCACAAGCATACCATTCAGGTATAGTCTTCAAGGCGTATGGGTACATATCCTTTACAAAGTTATTGATATCAAGTTCCATTACTTCCGTAACTATCCCAATCTCTGCAAAACCAAAAATTAAAAGCACAATGAACCCTAACTTGTAGTGGAAGTTAATTTAAAGCTAGTGTGAGAGTAAAAAGCAAAGAAGAAGTGGTCACTTCGAATAGGTCTCTTGTTGACTTGAGATGTCTGAGAGATCATGAAGATAATGGCAGCAACAACTGTCTTGTTTTTTTTTTTTTTTTTTCTTTTGTCGCAAAAAGGTCACTAATATATATACATGACTTCAGTTACAGTCGCAATTTAGTCCCTGTGTCAACTATATGACTTTCGAGTTTGAATCACAAATACGTTGCTACAATTATATGTCACTAATTAGTCTATAATATAAGACTATATATTACATCTTAATGTAGTCACAAAATTAAGATCATAATATGAGGTTACAAAATTAAAACCATAAAATGAGGTCACATAATAGTCGATATTTTGAGACTATTTTGGGATAAAAAAAATTTGCGATGATTTTTTTTTTTTTTTCCTTTTTATTAAGAAAAAAACTTTATAGTAATTGTAGGGTTTGATTGTTGAATTATTACTCCATTGTTGTACTAAACTTAGAGATCCTTAAACTCGTATATGTCATTGTAATCCCTTTGATCTTTTGAATCAGCGATCTTATAATATCGAAGAAATGATAAATCGGATTGCAATAACTAAATTTATTTTTGATAGGTAAAGAAAACACTTACAAGAACATATTAAAGAAGAAGAAAAATGATATGAATCCAACTTCATTTGAGGGAACAATACTTCTAGACAATTTTAATCCACTTGTACATCAATTTAGGAGATTCTTTACCCTCTGCATGGTATATTCCATCTTCTCTAGCATCCCAAAACACATTTCTACCATAATGAACTATGATTGTCTCACCTTGATAAGCCGTAAAAGATGCATGGAATAGGTAATTAGGACCTTTCGACAAGTCACAAACGATTTTAGTCCCCAAAACACTATCATGAAAACTAATATCGTAGGTTTGGCCAGGGCTTAAGTGATGAAAACCTAGGTTGTCTTGGTCCGACAAACAATTGATCCTGAGAGTGTTGTTCGGACCAAGAGAACTCTTGAAATGTACTGTGTTTTTGTCCCAAATCGCTTTGCTGGATCCAAGACACAATGTAATGATCACAAGCAAAACGCATAAGAGAGAATTCATTGTTTTGCTTGATCAATGTAAATATACGTGTGAGTGTGTTTTTTTTTTTTTTGGCTATAGGACTGATATGTATCTAAAGAGTTGAATTTATAGGAGGTCTTGTTCATCATGCATTCAATTTTGATCATGATTTGCATCTTATTAAGGTAAAGAGGCGTAATGTTTTTAAACAAAATCTCTGTTTTTTTTTGGAAAAGTTTGATATAATAGTTAAAACTTTAATGATATGCATTTATGACGTGACTGTGATTCATAACATTGGAGGTTAATTTCTATATATGATACTAGGGATGGACCCGCACGTATGTGCGGGGTTGGTTGCAAAAACTAAGTTTATTATAAAGTTTCCAATATTTGGATCGATATGATTACAGACCCGGATCGAGTATGAAGCGAATGAGTGATAATTTAGAAATCAATTAAATTTGTGAAAAATTTGTGAACTATCACATCACATAAACCAATGAAAAACATTAAAACTTTTGAATAAAATAACTTAAATATTGATATCAGGAGAGTCAAACCTGTTCACTATGCAAGTTTTACAACAACTTAAAATATTTTGCTCCGCCCACATGAATAAATAGTATGTCTTCAGCTTGCCCGTTATCCATAATTCCCTTTTGTATATTATTAGAATTAGTTAAAATAATAATTTATATTTTCTAAATTACTCGTTCCCTTTCCGTATCCGTTATTTCTTGTCCCGGTATTCGAAATATTTAAGTAATTTGGAACTTACTTTTGGTATTAAAATTTAATATTCATGTATCATACCTGTCATTTGATATTTGAAAGTTAAAATTGAATTTAAGTTTCCAAAATTTTTTGTATCGGCTTGTTTTTTATGAGAAATAGTTTAGATAATTTTTTTTTGAATTACTCATTCCCTTTTTGTTCCCGTTTTTTCTCTCTAAGATAAGATCATATATATTTTTTTATATATAAATAACATCATTTACGTATTAAAAACATTATATAGCATGTAGTTAACTAATTAAATTACTCGTTCTCTTCCCGTATCCGTTATTTCTTGTCCCGATATTTGAAATATTTTAGGAATTTTAAACTTACTTTTCGCTATTTAAATTAGATATTTTTGTATCATACCCGTCATTTGATAGTTGAAATTTGAATTTGAATTTAAGTTTCCAAATTTTTTATATAGTCTTTTTTTTATTAGAAATAGTTTAGATAATTATTTTTAGAATTACCCAGTCCTTTTTTGTACCCGTATTTCCCCTCTAAGATATGGTTGTATAACTTTTTATATAAATTAAATCATTTCCAGTTTATTTATTTAAAAACCAACATTTTATAGCTTGTCTTTAACTAATTAAATTACTCGTTCTCTTTCTGTATCCGTTATTTCTATTCCCGATATTTGAAATATTTAAGTAATTTGAAACTTACTTTTGCTATTTAAATTTCATATTCATGTATTATATCCGTCATTTGATATTTGAAAGTTGAAATTGAATTTAAGTTTCCAAATTTTTTATATCGTCTTGTTTTTTATGAGAAATAATTGTATAATTTTTTTTTTGAATTCCCCGTTTCCTTTTTGTACATGTTCGTTCCTTCTAAGATAAGATCATATATATATATATATATATATTTTATAAATGACATCATTTACATATATTTTTTTAAACAACATTATATTGCCTGTAATTAACAACATTTTAAAAAACCAATACCGTTAACTATTAGGTTGTAGAAACATATAGCCTGTAATTAGAGTATAATGTTCTATTTTGTATTGCCACAAAATTTGAAGCAATGTAAACAAAGTGTCTTAGAAGCTATGCTATTTTGGTTTTTTTATTTATGTAAACAAAGTGACATTTTAATTATGGTCACATGCTATTTTGGTTTTTTAATTTTAATTCAAGGAAATATATAAATATCTTTTTGCTATATTTTAGAAAAAAAAATCAATATGAAGATTTTTAATGTGAAAATAAGAGATGGTATGTGATATAAAATAGGGGGAATTTCAAAAATACCCCTTTTCTATACCACTTTTCAAAAATATCCCTCTTTCTAATTTTATCAAAAAATCACTATAAATTTTGAAATTTATCAAAAACATATGTGTAAGCTTATATTTCTAGACATAAATTATCTTTATATGTGTGTAAATTTATATATATATTTCATAAATACCTTTTAAAAACCTTTTAAAAATCATTTAAAAACCTTATAAAAATTGTCTAAACCTTTTAAAAACTTATAAAAACCTTATAAATGCTGTTTAGAACCTTTTAAAACCTTATAAATATTTGGATTTAGTCTTCCAGTAGTAATGATGATCTTGATGTATCTTATCAACCATATAAAAGTTTATAATTTTTCATATTTGAAAAGGGGTATTTTTGAAAATGGATAGAAAAGAGGGGTATTTTTAAAAAGGGGTACACCAAAAGGGGTATTTCTCAAAAATTCTCTATAAAATATTTATTCGATTAATTTTTGAAAAAAAAAATTTATTATTGATTTTTAAAGATTTTTTATATAAAGTTTTTAATTATTTATTAAAGATTTTATCATTTTTAAATTTTTTTAAGATAATATCAATTTTTTAATATTTCTCCATATTTTATGCTATTGTAAAATATATAACTTATTTATTTTTCTTTTTCTTTTTCCTAAAATATCAATTTAGAAAAAATATATATATGATGATTTTTGTAACGCAAAATAAATATATTATCATATCATAAGAATTATACAAAATAAAATAACATAAACCACTTGAATAAAACCATCAAACCAAATTAAAAATACTATAAATTAGATTTATTAAATATTAAATTATTGTTTAAAAATATCTCAAAAATTTAAATATGTTACATGTGGAAATTTTCGAATTTAATTTTCCACTTTTTTGTCAACAAAATTAATATGATCCATAAATATAGATAGTTTTTGTTTTTTATTATTTATTTATTTTTTTAAAAAAATTTCTGTCTTTTATTTTGTTTGGTTATAGGTTTAATTTTCATGACATTTTTTTTAAACAATTGGGTCTGTTTGGACACAGCTTGTCCTTCCCAATAAATAAGATAAATAAATATAAATTTATTTTAAACGTTTAAAAAATTAAAAAAAATAAAATATTTTAAAATATATTAGTTTAAATTAGGTATAATATATTATAAAAATCTAAAATATGTTTACAAATATTCAATTTCGAATTTAATAGGCCACAAATATTTGTAAAAAAATTATTATGATTACCATGAATATTGGTTAGTTATTGGTTTTGATTATTTATTTATTTTTAAAAATATTTTTGTCTTTTGAAAATCTGTCATTAATTCTGTTTGGGTGTAAGTTTAGGATTACATTTTATTTCATTTTTTCTATTTAATCTGTTTGGTTACACTCACAAAAAATGCTTCCCTTTTAATAGTATAGTAGATTCTATATGTTTATAATCTCAAAATGTAGTTTATGATTTGATAAAACAATTATTTAATATTTGATAATAGTAATGATATGAAAATTGCCAATGGATGAAGATTTATTTTGTTAAGATTTTGTGAAATTAATAAGAAAAAATAAGTTTAGAATAATCATTAACTAACTGTTTGACCAAATAAAAAAATCATTAACTTATTGAATTAATGATAAATTTTGTAGATTTCTTTTGTGCTATAATTGCTAGATTGCTTTTTGAATATGAATATTTTTATGTAAAATAAGAAATTTTTGTGATCTAGAATGTTTATTCGCATGATTTTAGCAAACAAATATTTAATTATTGATTTATTTAAATTTTATTTTTATTTAAAATTATATATTTTTTGAAAATTTGATGATATGATCAGTTATGTATATATACTATGTAGAATTTGATTAGTTGATTATTTCATATGCTAACATATTTTTTATCTTTTTATTTTTCTAAAAAAATGTTATCTTTGTTTTTTAGATATATGATGATTTTGTTTTATTAGATTTCATTCTATATAAATTATTAATTTCGAAATTATATTAAAATATTAAATTAATATTAAATATGTTTATGTATATTCAAAATAGATATGTTAACATATATTTAATTTTGAATTTAATTGTCCACTTTTTATGGTAAAAGATTATTATGATTTCTATAAATATAGATAGTTTTTGTTTTTGTTTTTGTTTTATTTTTTTTTTTGCTGTCATTAATTCTGTTTGGCAACTGGTTTTATTTTCATGAAATTTTTTTGTAAAATTGGGGGTGTTTGGCTTCAAGTTGTCCTTCCCAATTAATAGTATAGATTTAGAATTCGATTTTTAAGTTTATTAGCTTTAAATTTGTAATTAAATCGATTAAGGTATGTGTGCACTCGAAAATCTTTATTCAAGATTTTGTAATGGGCTTTAAACACTGTTTACTATCTAAGGGTTTTGATATCTTGAATTTATGGGCGTATTTATGCTGATTTACTGGTGGAGAATGATGAATTAGAAAAAACTGTAATCCTAAGAAACATCCATTACCCCCTATATATTAATAGAGAAGCAGTTTTAAGAGGAAAAACTGATGTGGCATTTTCACCTATAGTTCCTCACCAAAAATTGAACAGTTAGCATCTATAAAGTTATAATTTACAAAAGAGAGTTTCGAAAAAACTGTTACCTCGAGATTAAGTAAAAACGATTTACTATCATTTTTTACAACTACCGTCTATATGTTAATCTCCAAAAAAAATGGTCGAACCTTAGTTGTTTTAGCTATTATAAATAGTCTCTTCTATTTAGAAGTCATAACCCACAAGAAAAAAATCCTAAATCTTTCTAATATACGACGACCTCAGAATAGTCATGTACCTCACAATAGTAAAATTTTGGTAATTTCAAATTTTAATTAATTATAATACTAAAGTTTTAGCTTTAGAATTTTATCTTCCAATTTCATGAGGAGTATTGGCATGATTCACAAAAATACAGGTCGGAGAGGTTAACTTACATAAAGATCAGAAATAAACATTGACATGTTTGTAGAAAGCATTATAAGCATCGTCACATCTTCTAAAGAGATTGTATACTTCC